AACCATCCGCCTTCTTGAATCGTCCATTTTGACATAATTAAATCCATTCCATTTTACTTAAAACCCGTATAAATCGAGGTAATCGAAATTGAAAATTTGATCTGTGTATAAAGGATGCTTAGGAACCAAAAAGTCTGCAAGTTATGAAATTCCGAGAGAAATGAACACTGTCGAAAATTAAACTCAGCGTCTGCCATTTGGCCGTAATAAATTCATGGTTTTTTTTTCTCAAACTGGTCACTTAAAAGTCTGAATTTCATTAGCAGTTATAATAACTTTAATAAAATCATACTAAATGAAGTGTAATATAATAATTCAATAAGTAAAAATACAAATTTATAGATCCTTTTTCAAGAAGAAATGCTCATTTTAAAAAACGTTAAAAAATGGCTATAAAAACCGGTTGCCGTGGTAACGTCAATTTTGACGTACAGGACGACTTTGAAATGTTCTCAGATAAATTTTACGAAAATTCGCTTACTAGTTTTGTGACCATAGCTTGCATCGTGTTGAAGTTATTCAACGTTTTAGCGAGGGGAGCCTCAAAGACTCGGTCTCGATAGGATTCAAGGATTCAAGAAAGGTTTGATGAAAAGCTGATATTCAAAAATGGCTTGCGATAATTGTAACTTGAAAGTCGCCAAAGTTTAAAGTTGTTAACTTATTCAATTTATTAGACAGGGTATGTTTCAGGTTTTGATTTTCTTTATGATTTAAGTTGACATTGTTTAGTGTATTTTTTGTTTTTTTTTTCTCTGTCATATTGATCAAGTTGTGGCGTAGATATAAGTATTGTGTTCCTAATATACGTAAAACCAGGTTAGATCCGGAAAACCTTGCTCTCTTTGATGTTTTGTTCAAACTTATTTCGAAGCTGACAAATCATAGCAGCTAAGTAAAATTTCATGCCGTTTTAAATGACAATCTGTAAACTGATTAACATACCTATTTATTGGTAAATTCGATCTCTGTGGGTTTTACCAATTTGTACTCATTTGCTTTGACTGATTTCTCAGTCTGTCATATAATTATTATTCCAAATAGCTACAATCCCTTTAGCATCATTGAGCTTCTTTGGCTGGGTATAATACCCTTTGGCCCGCATCAGATAATAGTTATTTTAGCTTTTCAGGTGCATCTTGGCAAATAAGGGACGTATTTGATGAATGTTCGATCAATCAGCGGTCAGCTAAGTCAGAAATACTTCCGAGGAAACCAACAGACACGATGCTTATCCAAACAATTAATTGTTTCTAGATTCAGCATGCAACATAGGGCGGTACGAAAACTACAAAACGACGACGTATGGTGACAGAGGTCATTTTTGAGATGCTTAATAAATTTCCGTTGTCAAACAAATCCTGGAAGCCAGCGAAAGGGAAAGACAATGTTTATAAGCCCACTCATACAGTTGCCATTCTCATTGTTTCTCTTGTCAACAATGGAGGCTGTTGCTTTATGAAGAGTTAGATTGTGTAACTTTCTCATTTCTTGCGTCCCATTTACAGCTTAGGTCGGGAATAACCTGAATTTCAGGTGAAAGATTGGTTTTTAATTAATGAAGCAGAAGACCTGAGAACACATTACTGTGACCTCTTAGAAGACGACTGTTCAAAATTCCGCCCTGCACATCTTCAGTATTCAAGGTAAATATACGATAACTGAATACGTATTTTTTTATCATAGATTTTTCTGTAAGAGAAAGAAAGTTTCAAAAAAGTTATTAGAAAAAGTGTGTAGTTGATACTGGGATTTAACATTGTGAAAGATAGAATTTTGGTTTGTTTTGATAGGTAAACTACATTTTTCACGGCGTAAACATACTGAAAATTGGTGCTTAGTATTTTGTATTAATACGTGTTTGGCCGAATCGTGTAGAGCATTATATTTTCATGAAACACATTCTCGTTAGATTCATGGTTCATATTCTTAAAACACTAAAGTAAGATTTTTTTTTTTCAACAAACACACTGTTGATAGATTCATAGCTCATTTATTGAAAATCGATGTGATATACATTTCCTAGGAAGAAAAGGAAAAGATTAGATATTTTACAGTTTTGATACAGCAGGTCGAAAAGGTGATAATATTGTCAATTTATTCGCAAGCCTAACGTAAACCTTAAATATGGTTGCTTTTGCAGTAAAAAGATTATTGCGCACAAAGATCATCCTTTTTTTGGCAAGAATGGCATACACATATTTCATAAATATATTTTTAATTTTTGTTAGATTTAATCAAATTAGTTCCAGAATTTTTTACTTCTATTTAGTCAGTGAATTGAACAACACTCCACAGCTAGGGACGTTATTGATGAAAGGATAAAGGCAAACATGACTGTACGAAAAGCAAACTGTTTCTTATTTGTTGATATTTTTAGATAATATTCGTTGCAAAAAGGTTGAACAATTCTTGTGAGGTCAATATTAAGAAAAAGAAAAAATCAGCATCATTTAATGCGCGGTTTTTGTTGTCAATAAACTTGAATAATCATCAAGGCCTACATTTTAAAGAACTTCTTGACGAGATAAAAAGTGTGGTTTGGGTTGGTTGATAAGTACAAAATCTCTTTAGCTGAAGCTGCTTTTGGCGTAAATGCTCAAAATAAAACGATGTGATTTGACCGCAATTTAAAACTGTAAAGACGGATCAGCTTGATGAGGCAGCAACATCTTGAAAACAAGCTATTCAATGCGACATGCTCACAGTAAACTTTCAGTAAATATCAATGATCTAAGTAAAGTCACCGGGCTTTTAATTAAAAAATGCTTAATCACCCTTTAGGCAGCTGTCGGGATATTTTTTATACTGAAGTGATGATAATAAATCTTTAACTAGAACTGCGGTCAATTTTGTACACTCTCGAAGCTTTCAAAGAACGTTTTCGTTGAACTGCCGCGAGGGAAGAAAAAAATAGCCAAATTAAGTTATATTTCATTTATTTCTCAATGAAATGACAATTTCTCTGTTAAGGTGGCTCATAGCAGTTTGTTCACGTTAGTCTGTTCATGGAAAGATCTATGTTAACAATACATAAAACGGCTGTTGCTAGGAAATAATATAAGATAATTGTCTGATCATTTGCGAGTAAGTCATCAATAATTATTTCCTTGACGTAACAACAAATTACCATAGCAGCAGTTAAAAACTGTTGTTGCACCTTCAATTTTATCTTAAACATCACTTTCATTCATATGCAACTGCTTAGATCACTACATTTATAACATTTCGGGGTGACTATATAAAGTTAGTAGTGTAAAGTTTTTACTGGAAATACTTGAAAAGAATTCAAAGCCACCACGTTGAAAAGGAGTCACAGCCACCTCATGAAAAGCCAATAAACAGTATTTATCTAATAAGTAAATAAAATGATAATGGAACAAAAGAAATTTTGGTCAACCAGGTAGTGTTAGAGACGTTACGTCAAATACCGTGCTTCTCTAACACTTAACAATTATTCTTTGAAATCGAGGTGAATAGTGGCTAAATATTTACCGAGCCGCGAAAGCGGCGATGTAAATATTCCCATAGCCACTGTTCACCGAGATTGAAAAGAATAATTGTTTTAGTATATACACACGAAGTGATCTCAACAAAATCAGAGAGGAAACCATTAAAAAGTACGATTTGATTGACAGATCAAATCACGCGTGAGTTTAAAAATAGATCTTTGCAGAATTTTGAAACATGGCAATTCACAAGTTTATCATTACGCAAACAACATCGCAATGGCTTAAATGGAACCGCTAAAAGTTTGAACTGTTTCCTTACCTGAGAAGAAAAGTAGAGCTTTGCTGTTTTCTGTTGCCGCGCAAAGTTTAAAGCCAAAAGGGTTTGTTGTGTCGATCTTCGCNACACACGAAGTGATCTCAACAAAATCAGAGAGGAAACCATTAAAAAGTACGATTTGATTGACAGATCAAATCACGCGTGAGTTTAAAAATAGATCTTTGCAGAATTTTGAAACATGGCAATTCACAAGTTTATCATTACGCAAACAACATCGCAATGGCTTAAATGGAACCGCTAAAAGTTTGAACTGTTTCCTTACCTGAGAAGAAAAGTAGAGCTTTGCTGTTTTCTGTTGCCGCGCAAAGTTTAAAGCCAAAAGGGTTTGTTGTGTCGATCTTCGCATGAAGTGCTGACAAAAATGGCGGCTCGGTTGCTCGAGGTAAGACGTCGCCTTCCTGCATCATTCTTTTTCCTGTTTACTTGAAACGTAGAACTTCTGCAAACATTTCCTTTTAAATTTGTTTGTCATAAATAAACTTCGATTTTTGAGCCAAAATTTTCTTGTTTGAAAACGCTAAGTTCACGAAACGGCTTCTTCTCACACTCTGGGTGGATTCTTCGGATCAAATCCATATCCGGATTTTTGAGATTCACAATCTGAGCGTTTTTTTGGGAAAGGATTTCAAAAAAGTATTTTTGACAAACGGTTTTTCGGAAAAAAATGTTACGCAACACTCTGCTATGCCGTACATTTATGACATTTTAAGCGAACCAATGTTGATGGCGCCTTATTAATTTTAAACCATTAGTTACATATCATTCCATGTTTATCATCTGTTCAAATTATTGCTAGACTATTTTTAAACCCTTACTTGTCGTGTTTTTTCCAAGTAATTAAAAAAAATCAATTCATCGGCTTCAGTTTTAAATTCTTATAATTTTACTATCCTAAGGAGTGTATTCTATTCGAGAAACGTTTGTGTCTCAAAGCGAAATACATACATTTAATTCGTATATTCATTCGTAGCTTACGTTGCTTTTTCTTTTGGTCTTCACCGTGAGGATCAGTTTGTTGTTGTTGTTTTTTTTCACGACGAGCACGAGGACATAGCGTTGTCTTGGTAAATGATCCTTTTTCGGATCTTCTGTTTTTTGGTAGTGAAGAATCCGTGTGATCTGAAATCACAAATCCTTTTTTGGATTCTCCTCAAAAATCGCACCCTATGTTTGCCTTTTTCGCAGGTGTTGGCTAGACGTCAGGTCTTAACATGAATAACAGCGGTGCGATAAACAATGGTACCCAGGATTTTCCATCAGAGTGTCCTTATCTCCCGTCATCACCAGTGCTTCAATGGATAAAGAACGTTGTGTACCTGCTCATTCTGCTTTTAGCCTTATTTGGAAACGCATCAATCATGTGGATAGTATACAAGCAAAGGCGCATGCACACAGCAACAAACTACCTTATAGTCAATATGGCGGTAAGCTGAGCTATTTAGCTAAAACCTAACATTCTTTCAAAGAAATTTTCACTGTCGAGGATAATTTTAAACGTAAAACTCATGTAAACGAAGTCCAAAGAGTTGTTAGGAAAGATAACTTATGGGTTCTTTCAACTGATGACCCTCCGGATACTCACTTATGTCTTTGATTGGTTATTAGCCACGTCAGGTGAACCCTACCACTTACTCACATTTTGACAAATGTTTGACAAGTTTTTCTTAAATCTTAAATGGGATCTATGAACACACAATCAAGCAGGCGTGACTCGTATAGGTGCTGTCGTGTTTCTGGAAAGCAATTCCCACTCCGTGTTATGCTTCTCCGTCTCGAACCGCCCCATTACTCCTTCTTCAAAGGAGACTGCTACCTCTGTAACCGTCTCCTTCCATCCCATCTGATGCCTTCCCCGATGACTTATCCTTAGTGGTTCCCAGTAGAGTAGCCCGTTTAAGACGTCTCGTTGGTTTCATTCTGACCACTTGTTGCAGCCGTTCCCACCGAGGGAGATCTGAGAATGGGAGCTGAGCAGATTTTCTGAACACTTCCTTATTAGTGACTTTGTCACAACAGATGATAGTCAGAAGGAAGGCTTATAGACTCTTCTATTCTTCCACGTTAACGTTCCAAGCTTCTTCTCCATATAATGATGCTATGATTACTAGTGCCTCATGTACTATACTTTTTGATGGAAGGTTGATTGCTCTGTGCAATATGATAGCCGTGGGTAGAATCGGCATCTGCTGCATGCCATTTGCAATTTTTCACAGAGGTCTTGGCGAGGTCTGCATCTGATGCACCATTGTGCTATGCTGTACCAAGATAGATCAGTCTGCCCTACATTTTCCAGATGTTTTTACTGATTCTGATGTTCCACAAGGCAATGCGAGTCATGAATTTTTGTGTTTTCAGTAAGGCCGATTTACCATTCTTTTTTTTTCTCTTCTACGTCGTCGTCGTCGTCTCCTTCCCCTGGGGGTCATGCGTTTAGAATCCTTCAATTTTTTTAAATTTGGTACAAAATGTGTCAAAAAAATAATTAAATAAAATTGTCGAGATGTATGTTTGACACAAAGGTCGTGTTCTATTAACCAACCGTTTCAACCAAAGCTTGTTTTGTCCGTTTTGGCTGATTTGAAGTTCTCCAACAGAATAGTTTCCAAACCGTTTTAGGTTGAAAGGCGGTTGTGACTGGGTAATTTTCCGAGACTTCCTTAGACTTTTGTTGCAAAGATTTTAAACGTTTGGCGAAAGAGTTTTAAGCGCATATTTTTTTTGCAAAAAAACACAACACTTGAAAATCGATGCCTGCTTAAAGATCAGTGGACGATAACCATTGTTTTCACCCATTTTAACCAAGTTCTGAGTTGGTTGAAAAAGTTGAGCAACCAAACCAACCAATGAACAGCTTTTTCCCAATAGAACCTAAAAAAAACAAAACCAACCAAAAACTGTTGGTTCAAATAAAACACGACCTAGCAAGTATTTTGCTACTTTTCTTGGTAGGTTGGAGATCTTTTTATGGCCATCTGCAGTATGATACCCACCACTATCAGTATGTTCCGTGGCATCCACTCATGGGTGAATGATGGTCTTTTTGGACAAATTTCCTGCAAACTGCTTCTCCTCTCACAAGGATCATCGATGGCCTGCTCAATTATCACTCTTACAGCCTTGGCTTTTGAGAGGTACTTTGCTGTTGTTTTTCCAATGTGGAACGCCGTAATTGCAACGAAAACAAGATGGACGGTAGCTCTTGTTTGGATAGCTTCGTTTGCATACACATCACCAATAATTTATGCTGGAAAGGTCCGACTTTATAAAGGTGTTCCCTTTTGCATTGAAGAATGGGCCCCTGCGTTTGACCCTAAAAGAGCTCCAGCGATTTACACCATCGTTTCCTTTGTGTTATTGTATGCATTACCACTTTTAGTGATTGCTGTTTTGTACTCAATCATAATCGCCAAAGTTTGGGCGAGGCACATTCCAGGCAACGCAACTCCAGCAAACGTTCGACTCTTGAATAAATCCAAGAAAAACGTGTTAAAGATGTTGATGACAGTGGTTCTTGCCTTTGCACTGTGTTGGTTTTTGATGTACCTCAACTTGTTTTTGCAAGACTTCAGCGACATTTTCAGTCCTTGTGGAATTCCAGTGGGTATGCAGACCACCGGGTTTTTGTTTGGTCATGCAAACAGTGCCATCAACTGCTGTATATATTTTATTTTCAGTCAAGATTTCCGACGCGGATTTAAAGATCTCGCGACGCCTTTCTTTCGGAAAAGATCAACTTTGCTTCTGGAAAACACACGAGGAGCCACAATGGATACGACACGAGATAGTCAGAAAAGCTCTCTCAAGCCACAATCTTTCAAACTTACCCACAACACCAAAGTTTAAAATGGTGCTTGATTAACGAAAAATTAAATAAGTCACTACTTAAGAATAAGGACAAAACTGTAGTACAAAGCCAGGACACACCACTCTGCAGAAAGGCTGGTGCTACCTGAGTTAGGTACCAGCCTTCTTCACTATAAGTATTTTGAATATCCTTCTTTCTAATATGAGCATAAAATAAGTTAGTAAGATATAAATTGTACTGTCGCAATTTGTAATAATCGTCGCACTTTGTAATACCTGTGGCAATTTGTAATAAACCATGTCGCCCTTTGTAATGAAAAAGCTGCCGCAATTTGTAATAACTGTCACTTTGTAATAAACTAAGCTGTCGCAATTTGTAACAAAGTGCGGCGCACTTTGTAATAATTTTTTGAGAGTGATTCAACTTACTTCGTCAACATTAATATAATGCCTTGATATGAATGGTACTTCGTTAACAAAGATGATGACGTCTGTAAGCACGTAACTTACAAAATTACTTTTATAATTTTATATCTCCACTCATTCAAACTATTCAACTTTAAATATTTTTTAATTAAGTTTTTTAGTTAAGTTTTTTAATTATTCTTAAACCTCGCTATTTTACTAGATGGTTTGCATGCAATGGTTACCCGGGGGGCGTACTCCCTTATATGGCCAATACGGGTATGTGCCGTTGGACAGAGCGTTGTCAGAGTACAGAATCTAGACACACTAAACACAAACGAGCCATTATTATAAGACATTTAATTTCTAGATATCGTAACATCCATCCTTACCTCATTAGAATAAGGACACCAGGAAAGCTTTCCTTTTTAGATCTTGTCACAGGTCGACACAACACCGTCCTAGTCTAACGCGCAATCTTAAAAGAAGTAATAGTGGCTTCTAAATTTTGGCCAACTTAATCAGACGAGCCTGTAGAAATTCAAAATGTAATTTACTGCAAATAAACAAAAGCGTCACCAGTGGTAAACCGTCGAACCACAACAGAAACATAAACACAAAATCCAATTAGTCGCTGGCCAATACCTTTGTATGTACCTGTTTTTTTATAAAACTCACTTGGGGTCATACACTGAGCCGTGTGATCATTTGGTCCATTATTCTCTCTTGATTTGGTCCCATAAAGGAGCAAAAGGAGTATCATTCCATCTTAAAAGCAAATGCCGCGGGGATAGTAAAAAAATACTCCTTCCCTGCGCACAGCTCGTAAGACCTTGAAATTCTTCTAAGCGTGTTCCATGGCTACTTGAGTTACCCTTGGCTATCTAAGGATCAAACCAATGACACAAAGCCAACAAGGTAAAAAATGATACCCTATTTACCTCCGCGGTACTTATCTACCTAGCCCATATATGTATATGGGATTATCCCCCACCCCCAAGACTTCATGTGTCACGTGGCAAGCAAACATCGATTGGGACGACCAATGTCAGGTTATTAATGAATTTTCTGTTGTTAAATGTTGCTTTTGTTATTTAAATATTTTTGAATTCAAATATATGAAATGACTCATATCTTTTTCTTGGTGATATGTCAGAGGAAATTTCATGTCTTTCATAAAAGCAATTCTCGTTAGTCATGTGATCAATTAAGGCAGAAAAATTTATAGCGGAAGACATGCATGTTTGACCAAAGAAAAGCTTACTTTATTATAAAGTGCGATGGACAGTTATTACAAATTGCGACAGCTTTTTCATTACAAAGTGCGACACGGTTTATTACAAGTTGCAACAGGTATTACAAAGTGCGATGATTATTACAAATTGCTGCAGTACATAATACTACTATGAATTTTAGCTGACAAAGTTAATTAGGCACTTACAAGTAATTAATAAATCGTAAGAACCGGTTTGTTATTGTGAGAAATGAGAAAACCATAGCCCAATTTGCAGTTGTGAAAAAGTAGTCTTAATGTTAAGACTTGATTTAAAAATAGCCCGTAAGTTAGCCTGTGTACAGACGTCTCCCCTCCCTCAGAAAAAATCGGGAGAGGAGATGTCTGTGAATCACCGTCGTTAATCGTGTTCCGGTATACATTTGCATAAATTATTTTGTTCTTTCGGTGACAGTTGAAAAGGCATATGTAGGTCGAAAAATAGCCAGGCTAGAACGTTCTATGAAAGGAGTAACAGTGGGTACGCAATAAAGCCAAAAAAAAACAGAAAACGACAATCAAACACCAAAATGCAGTGGAATACATTGCAGGTAACTCATTTTATTCATTTCATTTAAGAAAAAGTAAGATTTAGCGTTATTTAGCGTTCGCAGATCTCAGTAATATATTTCTTATACAAAGTCTCTCATATTTTAAACGGTCGACTGTAACGCGACACCGGTGCGTCACCTATGGTATGTAAATTACATTACACCCTTCCCTCGTAACGTGAGTTTGGGCCGCCTGTGATTACACTGTAAGTACGTTTCCCAGTAGAAAGCATATTGTGACGAACGGCGTCTGAATGCGACAGCACACACGCACAAACACAAAACGATGCGTTAGCTAACGCTTCCCTGCCCCCATCCCCTGCAGGGCACCAAAGTTGAATTGTCTAAAGAAAGGTGGCCACTTCTTTCGTTCGAGACTGGAAGCACACCAAAAGTGCAAGCAGGTCTGCCAATCTCCGGGAAAAAAATTAATACTGCCGACAAAAGTGAATTGTCTAAATTTTAGACTGATAGATTGCCTTCAGTGCTAATTGCAACAGAAAAGAAAACAATTCTTATTTTAAATGATGAGCCTTAGCTTAGGGCGAATGTCTTGCAGAATTGAGGCTACATTAATCCATAACAGTGTCAGATGGTTTTTAAAAAAATAAAATAAAACTAAAACATTCTAGTCACGTCTCCTACGCGCAAAATATCCGTTAGGTTAATATGAAGCGTATATAATTGTGTTTTGGTGTTTTATCGCTTTCTAATAAATGTCTATTTTGAGTGATCTTAATAATTACATGTAAATGTTATGCCTACAAGCAGATCTTTAATGCTAGAACGCAATTAAGAAAGGTCCGTTTTTTGAAGGCTTGTCAAAGCTAAATGGTCTGAGACGATTATTTTGCGAAGCAGCTGTGACTTGTTTAAATTCCAGTTTTTAAAGTTCCTTGTATTACGCCTCGATCTATCACTGTTGATCGAAGAGGTCGTTTCACAGCTAGGTATGTATATTCGCAGGTTATTCAGCTCACTTGAGGTTTTATATATGAACGGCGACAACAAGTGGTTTACAAAACAATGTTAAACAGTTTCTTCAGCTTTCCGCAAGCGATAAAGACGATTACTTCAGTTAAGAACCCAACGGTCTAGCTTTAGCTTGCCAATTCTAGTCAAAGCACCAGGCTTAAAGTGCAAATTTTAAGAAAAGTTTTAGCTGGGTTTGGTGTTCTATTGCTAAGATCTAGAAAATCATTTTCCAAAAGGTGTGCATCCAAATTCTAAGACGGAGTTTCGATCTCTGTCATCCTTGTAACGGATTTGCAAACAGGTATCCTATGAATCACCGGTGCACTAAACACTGCTTCGCTCTTTCTCTACAACAATCTGGAGGAGAAAACCAAGAAAACTTAGTATGCCAAGCAGGTGTCAAGAAAAATCGAGACGGATAATTAAAAAAAAATGGCGAATATTTTGACTAAAACTAGTCTTTTTCTCAGCAAAAGTCGGAGCGGCCATTAGACTATAAACCGGCATTTTGTCCATTGCATGTAGTTTTGATTGATTTTAGTCTGCTCGTGGTTGGCGCTTTTCTGATCCAAGATAGTGACATCGAGGTCAATATGAGGCAAGCATCTTTTGGTGATAGCATCACGTTTGCAGGAAAAACAATAGACTTTTTTAAAAAAGCTGGAAACTAAGGAGTCTCGCGATGAGATCGATGAGACCCATTCGGAAATGGGTTTCCAGTTCCTAATATTTATCCAAGGCCTGATTTCTGAGGGATTTTATCATGCGATAAAAGCAAGTGATTTTTAAAGTTTACACCATGTATGTATTTCAGAATACGGTCTGTAGTATCGATGATGTAATTGTGTACGGTCGAAATGAGTTATGGGTAATTAAAAAGCACATGGTCAAGTGTCGAGTGTGAATCTGTTGTTGTGTGCATTTATTTTGGTTAAATCCGGATGTTTCACTGACCGTGAAACACTACAATTGGCGACGAGGATAAAGTGATACAAAGATACGTCTGTTTGAAGGAAAGTTATGGCGACAAATGACGAACTTCGCGGAATTAAGCCATTTGATTGTCGAGGAGATAGCACGAGTGTGGGGCCAAGATGGCGGCGATGGCGAAAATCATTTCAATTTTACGTCGATGGTCGTGGAATCACAGCAGCCGCTCGAAAAAAGGCGTTGCTTTTACATTGCGCAGGGATGGAAGTCCAAGAAATCTTTGAAACCCTAACGGATCCGGGTGCACCTGCAGGGGAAGACGACGATGCATACAAGGCTGCACTTCGAACACTCGATGCATACTTTACACCACAAGTGAGTGTACCATACGAGCGACACATTTTTCGCCAAATGAAGCAAGAAGAGCATGAAACGGTCGATCAATTTGTTGTAAGGCTCAGTAATCAAGCTGCGAATTGTGAATTTGGTGCTACGAAGAATGAGCAAATACGTGATCAAATCATTGATAAGTGCAAGTCCACAGAGCTTCGGCGAAAACTTCTGGGAAAGGGACAAGAGCTAACATTGGCAGACAGGCAGAAGATTGCTCGATCGTTGGAGTTATCTCAAACCCAAGCCAAACAGATCGAAGGTGATGTGGGAGCGTCTGTTAATGCCATCAAGGAAGACAACAAACCTGGAGGAAATGGGAAAAGTGATCAGAAGAGTCTGAAATGTTACCGATGTGGACAAAGTGGACATTTCGCACGTGACAAGTATTGTCCGGCAAGATCTAAAACCTGTACAAAGTGTCACATGGCAGGACATTTTGCTTCAGTCTGCAGGACAAAGAGTAAACAAGAGAAGAAGAAAAAGGACACACGGAAACAAGGTGGACGAGGAAA